GGATCATCCGATGCGCCGCATAGTACCACACGCTCCGAACGTACTAGTACAATACTGTGAATGTAGGGATACGGGCATTCGCGCTATGGAGGAAGCTTCGGACTGTCTGAGCGTGGTGCGGGAGTCCTTGGTCGTGGCGTTCTCCATCGTATCGTAATCCCAAGTACCGGTATCGGGTCTACTAACGTACCGCACCGGACGAAGGCATGGACGGATGAACCCTAATTGCCGAACCGGGCTGAACTGGTGCCGGTATGATACAACGGCGGCGATTACCGCTACTTGCAGTTTTTGGATAGTACGAGTATCATACCGGGATGAGGGTGATGGGCTGTTGATGCGGCCAATCTATCAGTTCTGTCAGGTACGGTTTCGTGGTCTCTTTATTCTGGTATCATATGGACGGTTGTTGATATGTGCTGTGTAACGGAAGTTATCGGTTCTTCCAATTTTCATACAGACTGTGCCGGTAACGGTACTGTACTCGAGTACAGGTGCTTGTGCTTGGCTATTATTGTAGAGCGGAAGTGATGAATAATCGCTGCGTCGTACTGGAAGCACTACAAGTAGGGTACCGGCACTGCGACTGCGATCCATCCCTGCTCGCTGGATTGGTAGGCGAATGGGTGGATAGCACTGGATCTTTCGGGAAATAACTGTTTGGGCGAGTTATTACGGTCGCGGGTTGATCGAATTGTGGTTTGTAGGGCAATTTGTGTACGGTAGAGCACTCGAGTACAGTAAGATGAGCATCACGATGGTGTATTACAAACTGGTCTATGAATAGAAAGGTTCCGAAAGTTCTGGATGCACCGAACATCCTAAATTACATATGATACAACTGTATTCTTCAACAACGCAACTGATCTTCAAGTTGCTAGCTAGGGTACGGCATACCTTCCGCGCTAGAGTGCTCTACAGTGAGTGCCGTGCCGGCTCGACGGAGGAGGAAAAGGATAGGACACTGAGATGGTCTCTCTTATACTATGCACCGCAGTAACGTACCGGTACTCTGGGCAAAAGGTGACACTAACATTAAGCCCGCAGACTCTCAGGACCTTATTATCCTCGTGCACAGAGTACCATGATTAGAAGTTAGAAACCTGTCAATCAATCCTCCCACCTCAATCGATCAATAAGCCCAGCGCCCAATATCAATCAATACACAACCTCCCACCAGGTCGCACAATGCTAGCAAGCTTCACCCACAGCGGCTATATCAATTACTAAGCTATCATACAGTAGAAGGAATAAAGCAATTAAACCCCCCCGACGATAGTAGCCATCCGTGGCATAACACCAGCCGCTGTAGCTGGTAGCTACGATGCTGGGTACAGTACCGGTGGGTTATCCTGCATCATTCCGCGCATTACGAGATTTCGTGCCAGTCAATGATCGTCCCGGATCAGTACTTGTGCTCGTGCAGTAAAGTAAGCCTGCGGGCGCAAGCACTCCTGCTAGTTCTGCAAGCCCCCGATTTCCCGCTTATGGATGATGATGGGTGAGCGGATATACACCATACGCGCCTAATAGATCAGGGTTGTGCTCGTGCTCGAGTGTAATGCCGGCGAGAAGGGGACTTTTTGATCGATTGATTGATGGGGGATATGTGTGTACTAGTAGTAGGTTTCACGAATCATGCATGCAATAACCCCACTCTATTTACTGTACCCGTACCTTGCTTGTGAGGGATATGGTAGGAGTGTAGTAGAGTTATGGTAGCGAGTTGCGGAAGAACACACGACGGGGGCCAGGCACGCGGTACTAGTACTGTAGAAAGGGATTCATACGTAGGGATCAGGCACGCCGGGCGTCGTGGTGGTGGTGGTGGTGGTACCCGAGTATCCCTTCTCTTCGGCGGTTACAGTGTGAGTACAAGTAGTTTAGTCTAACGGCAGACTAGCGCCGGAAGTCGGGAGGGGAAGGTTTGGGCGAATGCAGTGGAGACTGTGGAGTACCGGTAGTGGGAGCAAGTTCTTGAATTCATCCTACCGGTAGCTTTTTTATTCTTATTTTTAATATTCTTATTATTACCGGTACAGTACTCCTGTACCGTACGGGCCTGTGACTGAGTGGCTGGCTGACCGACTGTAATTGCTTGCTTGCGCAGTATCACAGTACGGTATCATATCATGTCCAACTACGGTACGGCAATCATACTGTGGGTCCTATTTTTTTTTTTCGTTTTCGTTTTTCCCTCCAACCCGCTGCCCACATTTTGGGGTGAGGCGAGAGAGTAGAGGAGATAATCCCAAATATAGTGACGGACCCCTAAAACGAACCGTCTTCTTCCCCTCGCTTCGCTTAGTAATGCCTACCAAAAATTGGTGCCTTGGCATATTGGTGCTCGTATTGTACAAGTATGTGGGCTCCCCTGCACAAAATGCACGCCTTACCATTCTCGGTCAATACTCACTCAAGAAAAGATTAGAGTTAATAGAATTAAAGAGGGGCTGGTCCTGAGTAAGTAAGTTCTATCGGGTTCGAGAGACTTTGTCGTCGCTTCGGAGTCTTTATCCCTGATTTTCGCTCTGGGGGTCGTTCTTCAGACGCCCGGCACGTTAATCGACATCGTGAGGTGTCTCGCCTTCGTCGGCAAAGCGAAGCCCATTCCTGAGCCCGGGAGTAACACTGTTGCACTGCACAGATACCGTACAGCACTGTGCAGTAGCGGTACTCGAGTACTCGTGCAGTACTGTGCTCGTACTTGTACACCCACAATAAGCTTGTTCTTGTTTTCTTTTTTGGTGGAGAGGGGGGAAAGGGGTGTTTTCCATGTTTTTTTCTTTTCTTCTTTTCCTCCTTTCTTCTCTCTCCTCCCCCCCCCGGACAGGCAGAATTGGATCTCGGTTCTTTGGCCAACTATAACTGCTATCGGGACAAGACGTGCTGCTCTCTCGTTAATTGATACTTCCCGCGTACGACGCAAAGGAGCGAAGCAAAGCAAAGCCGAACCATTGGTGTTCTGGCGCGAGGCAAGTTTAGGGCAGGGCGCAGTACCGGTATGCAAAAGAAGCCGAAGGCCCATGCGCACCCGGGATGAAATACACCGCAAAATCATAGACCTTTCCTCCGCTTTTGGTATCGTACATACGAAATAGGATCATACAGTTCCGAGGGAAATCGGTAAAAAAAGAAGAAAAGAAATGCAATTACGGTATCCTCTTCCCTCCTTGTGCTCCACAGGCACGATGGTAGGAAAGGAGCTAGCAGGAGGCTCGGTGATCCTTATTTTTTGAGAGCACGCAACCATCCTGTTAGCCCCACTTTTCCAAAAGTTTGGTCTGTTGGTAGCGCGCCCATATTTTTTTCATCCAATCAACATACCCACCGCGCCAGGTCTGGAGTGCCGATATCGGTATACTGTTTTCCTTTTTAACGGGCACGCCGAGTGTGCCCCTCGCGAATCATCGTACAAGTGCGGTTCAAGACCTGGCACTCGAGCTCGAGAGGTGTTCAGTATGGGGAGGGTAGAAAGGAAAAAAAAGAAAAAAAAATCGCCTGTTGCTTGAACTGTACGAGTACGGTAGGGTTGGGAATCGCACGTAAGCGGGAAAGGAGCATTTAGGGATTAGTTTAATATGCGGCAAAGGTTTTCCAGGGTACAGTACTCGTACAGTTCAACCAGACTTTCGGTTGGTGTCCAACTACACGCCAGATGATGACCCGAAAAACATGCAGACCAAGGAAGGCGATGGAACGGAAAGCCTTCCAAAGACCGTTCTTTGGGTAAGTATGCTGTAAGCGCTGGAATTTTCAGGTGAGACCTCCGCTGGTGTCCTTCAACCGCCTGCATACGCTGGGGAGGGGGGGAAGGGATCGGTTACTGGGGTTACGGCTCTTAACGCCGTGACACGGTGCGGTAACCTTATGGGCCCAGGATCGTTGATTTGCCCATCCTTATCCTTATTGCTTGTGAGGCATCGGTGGTGCGCAGCTATTTTTCTATCTTACTTTTTATTTTTATTTTTTGAAGGAAACACGGATCCGGAAAAAGAGATACCGGTGACCCTGGGTGGCGGTAGAGGAACTCTGGAAAGTGCCATGGAGGAGGAGGAGTTCATCCTAAAGCATGGGGTCAATCGCTTCACCCCACACCCCCTGCTTGACGGGTGTGCACTTTACATGTGGTCTCGGGTCGTTCACCTGCAAGCGTGGACACCCAGAGAAGCGTGGTTCCAGAGACAAAGCCATTGCACTATTGGCCCGACTGCGGTCTGTGGTCTGTGTGACAATGTATTGTGACCTTGGCCGCTATGATACAATACATTGACGGCATCCCATACCGAAACCCATAACTTCCGCCCCCCTCCATAACCCCTCTCCACCTCATCCCTATCCCTATCCCCATCCCCTTTCCACCCCTTCTCGCATCCCAAGGAACACTCGCGGAAGCAAGATGGAAGCACCGCTCCCGGGGGCTTTTTGTCTATGACTGACTGCCGCACCGCTTCAAATGCCATCACTGTATCATAGAACGAGGGGTTCCATATATTTAATATACGAATACCGGTACTTTTATGATTACTTATCAATCCAACAGGCAATCTCGTTATTGTTGCCAAAAAAGTGATGGGGTGCTGTCGATATTATGATACTTTTTAAGATTCGGCATTTTTTTCCCGTATGGTGTGCCGGTATCGGATGGCATTTCTATCGTACTCGAGTACTGTTTGGGGAAGCCGCAGAGAGGGTTCCCGTGGTCCCGCCCGCATTCTCCCTCTTATCCGTTTTGCCGACACAGAGGCGACAGCTCCGGCTACTGCACCAGTACTGTACTCGTACTCCTACAAGGCCAATCCCATGATATCAACCAGGTCGATAAGCAGTTGTTCCCCCATGCCTTCTTGGCGGCTAGCCACCTTCGTACGCGCACACACGCACGCACGCACACACTCTTACCCACATACCCCCCCCCCCCCCCACGCTGACCGACAGTTGTGTGTATCCGCAGCAGCAGGGCACCAACACTTCGCTCACACACACACACGCTCACACGCACACACACTCAGACTTGCATATCCTTCCTTGCCCCTGGTCACTCAGCAACGCTCCAGGACGGGAGGGGACCAAGGTCGAAATTCGTGATGGGAGAGCTACATGTGCGGATGGGGTGTAAGAGAGAGTGTAGAAGGATGAGGAACGGGGGATGTGATGCAGAGGGAAGGGGTAGTTCGACGGTTGGTGGAAAAGGCTTCGCAGTCCCTTAGGGGTAAGTGGACGTGAGGCTGTTCACTCTCCACCGGCACGATAGTTCGGGGACGGGGTTCGTCGATCTAAAACTCAGCCGCATTTGCAGATTTGAACGGGTATTTTTTTTCTTTTCTTTCCTCGGGCCCAGAAACACTGCTGATAAGTGTGTGGACTGGGGCACAATCAGAATCACTTTTCCATGGCTGGTGTCCAGAGGTATAGCATCGTGTCCGGTACTCTCCTTTCTGCTCACTTTTAGGATTGATCACTCCCGACCAACTGGTGTGTGCAACAGGAGGTGACAGGAGCTTAGAGATCTGACGATACGGAGTGATACCCCTCGGAGTGGGATGAGAAAGAGGGAGGGAGCAAAAGAAAGAATAAAAGCAAGGGAGGGTGGAAGAGAGGCTTGCGAGAAGCTTAGAAAAGCAACAGCACCGACTGGCGAGCCCCATAGTTCCTGTTGAGGCGTTTTCAGTTGCTATTCTTCGCCGCACTCTTCCCGGGCTTAGATCTTCATTTCATTCTTGAGAAGTCTACAATTATCCCTTCGCCGGCAGTCTATCGAACCATCTGGGCTCTTTGAGCTCGCTCACTCCCCCAACTCACCCGGATTCTCCACCCGTCCCCTTTCAGACCACACTCCCCTCCCCCTCCCCCTCACCTCTGAGTATTATTTATTATTTATATTTCTTTTTATTATTATTATTATTTTAATTTTATAGCATCTTGCCCAAGCAAACCCACCGTTGGACAACCGTCGAACTGGAAGGGGGGGTCGACTGGCAGGGCTGAGCTGGAGCTGGGGGAAGAAAAGGAAGTGAACAGGGACGGGGGACAAAAAATCATTATTAGAATTGGATCTATCGGTCATGGCGGACGGGCCAACCCCAGCAGCATACAGCCGAAAGATCAGTTCGAGTGATGAGCGCATCCACGACGCCGTCCATGTAAAGCAGCCTTCCCCGCCTCAATTATTTACACCCAGGTCATCTTCCTTCACATCCCCTACCTCAGATACCCCATCCTCCAAGAGTCCCTCCTCTATTTCAACTGGCACTACCGCTGCTACCTCTATTTCCTCTCCGGTAACATTGGGGGCCACCACAAAACCAACCCGAGCTGCAGCTAAGAAGAGGACATCGGCATCCCCCAAGGTTATGGCGGCGGCGACTTCTCAGGTCACTATGGCGACAATAACAACTTCCTCTTTGAAGGATGGGACAACCCCAACACAACGGGTAAGCCGTGCAAAGAAGGGCAAACGGGTGCACGCATGCAATAATATGGGCTGTGATAAGGTATGTCTCGTCTGTACTTTTTTTGTTTGGTCTTTGCATTTTGAGTGCTAGTCGAGTTGTTGTAGGCGGGAAAGCTCACGTAGGGTATCCTTTCCTGGATAATAGGTTTTCACAAGAGCGGAACATTTACGGTAGCGAATACAGCACATAGCTTGCTCTTTTAGGTCGTTTTCTATAAAGAAACTAACTCAGATTGAACAAACAAAAAATAGGCGACATCAGTTGAACCACAGCACAGAGGTGTATTATAAATGTGAAATGTGTGAACGAACGTTTGTGCGGCAAGACTTGCTTTCACGCCACACAGAGCGACAGTGAGCTTGCTTCTCCCCTTGGTTCCTCAAAGCTAGGGAATGACGGCTGACTGTAACATCGCAGTGCAACTCAAGCAATGAAGGCCGTCCAAACATTAGCTCTTGCTCAAAGACATACCGGGTTTGTGACTCGGTATGGGATTAACGGAATTAATGGGATTTCGGCTCGTCCCCCACCGACTAGTGACTATGGGGGAAATGCTCATGTCTTTGATTCAAACCCACATCCATCTCCTCGAGTTCATACGGATGTGAATGCTTTGCCCCAGATACTAACATCTCACTCTCCGCATCAATCTTCCCCCTCTGCAACGTCGCTCGTGACTCCCCATTCCTCGACGTCCATGGCGAGTTACGGATCGACGTTCTCGGCAACTGTGCCGTTATCGTCACATGGGATGGGGTCTCCTTTGGACTATTCATCGGGGGAATCGACGAGCTCGCCGCCGGGGAGCTTGCAGAGGGCCCACCTTCCATTCCATTTACAGCATAGCGAACCAACGAGACAGCCAGAGCCATTCATTGTCTCGTCGCACCCAGAGATACTCCAGCGACCCCCAGCCCTATCCATCGATAACCAACTGCACCCGAAACCGATGCCAACATGGGAGAACTATGCATGGCTATTTGATGATAGTACGTCCCAAGATCAAGCACTAATGGATATGAACCGGAGCCAGGAGTCCATGCACTACCTCAACCCTTTAGAAACCACTCACTATCGAAACATAGCGATGCATGGTGGTCGTGGAAGTGGCAGCGGCAACAACAACAGCAGCAGTGATCGGACAACGTATGAGAACGTGAAGAGCGAGTCGGCGCTGGCATTCCACCCCATTGACGAGAGGATGAGGTCCCAGATATTGATGCTGCTAGGAAACGTGCCAAATTTACACTCCAGTGCCTATGCAAGCGCCTCCTCGATGCAATACTACCTTAGACTCTACTGGACGAAGTTTCATCCAATATACCCAGTGCTACACAGGCCGACGTTCTTGCCAGGCATGCAGCTGGTCATGCTAGCTGCCATAGTGATCGCGATAGGAGCTTCGTTTGCGAACGACGAGGCGCACCAGTTTGGTGTGGCTTTGTATGATAAGGTCAAAGGGTTGATTCTGAACGTAGGGCACTTCTTATTTCTCTTCTTGATTCTTTACGTTTTCTTTGCCCTTGATCCTGGTCTTTTATGAGGAGGAAGGAGAGAATGGCCTGATACTTCATGCTTTTTTGTGGTTGGGGAGGTGTAAGTTGACGCCGCATAGCAGTCAGACGACTTTACAGCGCATGATTCGAGCAGCACCTATTTTCAGCAGGCTATATTGTTGACGGACATATTTGGGAAAATGAGGTGCACGAGGTCTCAGCTCGATGGGGCACCGCTCGACGTGATACTGATGAAAGTAAAGCTTCCCTTGGAGATCCTTTATATCTGCCTTCTCTCTCATTTTTCGTCTTTCCACTTCTTTTGCCATCAGCGTTCTGATTAGGATTGTTTTTTTTTGTTTCGCAGCTTTTACGACGAAGTGAGATACCTACGACAGACCCATTAGAGCAGGTGCGACGCTACCACAGGGATGGAATGGAGTTCAATTACGACAGTGAGTGGCAGCACTGGATAGGACTAGAGTCACAAAAGAGGTTGGTTAAAAAGCTGAAAACCCGAAGAAAGAAGGCAATAAAGAACTGGTTGTAAAAAGGGCGGATCGGGGGATTTTTTTTTCTTTTCGTATACTCTTATAAGAAAAAGAAAAAAAGCCAAAGACCAGGCTGAAAGTGGTGATCAAAGGTTGACATTTTGGGCGTGTGTGCGCGATGGAGCACAATTGAACAGAGTCGCTCTACTATTCTTCTACTGGGACGTACAACAAGCTACGATGTTCGGTCGAGAAATGTGCCAGACAGCCTTTGACCTTCGCGTGCTGCACCTGCCGTGCGAAGAGTTTCTCTGGAGCGCGGATTCCTCGCACGAATGGGTGGGATACCTCGACGGGCAGCAGGAGCACCCCAGCTTCCTGGAGACGCTGCGCATCTTCCTCGATCCCAAGAGGCAGTTCCCCGTGCTGTCGCCGCTGAGCTCAATGTTCATTCTGCATGGCTTAATATCGGTCGGCTACGACCTTCACAGGAGATCATCGCCCATCGGCCCGAGCCCCGAAGAGACAGCTGCGAAGCAGGCTAGGTTGCTAAGGGCATACGAAAAGTGGGCGACTTACTACGAGATGAATGTGAGCCAGGGCTTGTCCCAATCTTGTAACAACAAGAACATGGTCATGTACCATGCCGCCTACATCTCTCTACACACTAACATCCACAACCTGACCACCGTGGCCGGGGACACCCGGACCTTGAAGAGAAACCCGGAGAGGAGCGACTACTACAGAGCAAAGGCGGAGCTTCAGCAATGGGCAAACAGCGGTTCCGCACAGCTCGCTACATGGCACGCTGCGCGGATCCTGGTTAGGTCATTGAACCACACGCACGTCTATCTTGAGCTGTTTCATGTTCCATGGTGCATGTACATAGCGACCTTGGTCTGCTGGGCATATGGTCAATTTTCGTCTTCGGCCATTGGACCGGGGGGATTACCTGAGGCGTCAGACGACAAGGCTATGTGGGATGCTCACCAGGATATGCATGTGTACCTTGGGCAGATGTCCACTGATAGTTGGGAGAGTTTACCGCGCGCCGGTGGACACAGGCGAACTGCGGGGTTGGTTGCTGTGGTGAAAAATACCCTTGAGGGTGTTCGGTGGGGCTTGACACACGGGAGTGTTGACGTATTAAAGAGGTTGGATGGGTCTGAGGCGGGTAAAGGCGTTTAGGTTGATGTGTAGAAACATTGGGGGAATGATTCTTTTCGTGACAATATTTTTTTCGTTTTCTTTTTTACGGAGCGAGCTGTGTACGTTGCAATATCTTGTGCATTGCTTTTGGGCCTTACTCGATGTCCCCTTTGGCGCGTGTGTGGGTGTCTCTAATAATGCGAGTATTGGAGAAGCGGGACTCTCGACGACGCAAGCCATGCTGTTGAAATTATCGCCCGAATATTTTCCTTTTCCTCGTATTATCCTTGATTTGGGCATGGTGTTCCCCCCCCCTTCTCCCGAATCTTGCGTGCCGAAAGTACCCATAGCGCAGTTCGAGTAAAAGGAAGTTCGGGGCGTAGTGCAAGGACTGAGATGCTGGACGTTCCTGCAGAACAAGTTGAGGAAAGCGGGATCGACTCAAATGTGACGCAAATCATATTGTCTCGTGAAGGGTGATAACGCACATCGCCAAAACGGTGTTGGGAACGGCGGCTGGGATGTGGGGGTAATAGAATATTCCTCAATCCTCGTTGCCGCCTGCGCCTCTAAAATGTCGGGAGAGCGAATATGGGCCGGTTGGCGACAAACCCAAGCCACTGCTGCCATGTGAGGTTGCATGCAACTTCATGCGGGTCTCTTGCAGAGTGCCTATTCTGGTACTGTGCAAGCATCCTGCATCCTTTCCTCAGTTGCTGCAGACAGGGATAGAAGCATACTAATGCTATATAATTTGTGATGCGGCTTCGGATGGTATTTGAAATCCATCACCCTGGGTAACGCGAGCATTCCTAATGTTAAGCTTCCTTTCTGAGAGTCAATTCTTTCAATAATATATGCATCGGATAGGGAAGAATAATGTGACAGCGTTGCCTTGCATCAGAATCGCTTCGGCCGGAAGCAAGCTAGATACTGCCATTAACTACTTGGGTTCCGGGCCTCACAGCTTGCTTTTTGTCGGGTGCAGTTCAGACGTCCTTAGCGGTTGAAGGGGTTGAAGGGATCATTGATATCATCTAGTCGGGCGGGTGAGATAGCTAGAGTTCAGGAGCGCTCAAAACATTAAGCTTCTGGAACGGACAATAGTCTGTATAGTTTATTTGGCTTATTGATTGTTGACAGCCGCTGCTCAGGCCATATCCTACCTTTTGCCCCCGGGGCGCAGGATGGTTTAGTGAGAGTGGTAGCACAGCCAAGTAAACGAACACTCCCACTCTCGACTGGCCCGGACTCCCGCACCCATGCTTCCCATTTTCCTCAGCAGGCCCACCAGTGCAAGACTTCCTTATTCCTTCCCTGCCCACGTGTGGCGCTCTGCATAGCCGGGCGAAGCTGAATGATGACGAAGCTAAACGGGGTCCCAAAGTCTTAGCCCTAGGGCCTCCCAAAGGGCACATCTATTATGATGGAATCTGCCCAAGAGGATGGGCTGGGGCCCTGACATCGCCCGATGCGGACTAAGTAGATATTTTCTAGAGAGGACCTGGTCCCATATTTGGAACAATAATTAGGTTGGGAACGGTGTGCACCCAGAGAGCCCCGCACCCCTAGATGCCCGGTAAGAGTTAGGCTGAGTATTCTGCATAAGGTGGTCGAGTGTTTCGAGTTATCTATCCTAGTTCGCCAATAGCCTCCGATTTCTAACGCATAAACAGCGTTGCTTATAGGATTCTAGCTGGTTGAATGCTTTGCATAAAACGCTAAAGCCGGATTTCTGGTCGCGGAATCAATCCCAAGTTATGACGACTCGGGATTCAAACACAATCATGAAAGACGCTTTTCGTCGTATAGAACAGCTGCGGTCCTGACTGACCCCGGTAGGAGCTAGCGTCCGGTATTTTCCATATTAAGCTTGGCCCAGTTGAGTATCTTGAGAGCCGGTGATTCGGAGGCCTTTCCGTAGTCAGGAGGGAATTGTAGTAATCTCATGTCTCCTGGGATATTTGTCTGCGATGGTGTGTTGACTTCCCTGGCCAAACGCGGGCTGAATACTCACTCTGTACCACATCTCTGGGAATTCCGTGTTGCATGTCTCCCGAACTTCGGGATACTGGTTCAAGGAACTCTTACCTGCCACCTATTTTGTGGTCCCACGTAATTCATGTCCTGAACAGAAAGTGCCGATATCCGGGGCAATGGCATCCTTCTGATACCGGTATAACCTAGAACGGTAGAGAGGGCCCTTGGGCTATCCGGGGGATTTCTAGCTCATGAAGTTTTGTATCCGTCAGTGTGTCTAGGGCACTTTCGATTAAGGCAGCGCAAATAGCCGGCAACGGCTAAGGTTGAGGTCCGCCGGAACCTCGGGGTCTGTTCGACTCCTCTGTTCTTAGGTGTGCGGCGGGAGGTGCCGGCGATGTGGAAGGAATGGTATCATCCCGGCTTATTCCCTAATGTTAGTGGTTAAAAATAATTTTTCGATAGATAGCTTGCATGCCTAGGTCTGACACTATTCAAGGGTTAGGGGGAAAATGTATACGGGTAGGGTACCGCCACCTCATCTTTTAAGCAGACATCTGCGCTTGACATGCTTGAGTCTGGATATGATACCACTCGATCCTTCTCCTGCGTTAGCTGGCGCAAGACAGAAAAAATAAGATTGTTCTGGGATTGGTAAGGCCATGGATATATCGCAAACGTCTATACAACCTCTGGGGACGAACGATAATCTATGGATCAGGAGAGTATATATGTGTGAGTTTCTAGCAATGTCCGTATTCGAGCTTAACGATTGACTGATTTGTGCAAAGATTTTGTGTTAGTGTCAAAATTGACGATGCTGGAGACAAGGTCCTAGCCCACGGCTGCCTAACAGATCTTGGCTGTACATATCCAACCGAGTTATCCATTCGGTAATCCGAGAAGAAGAGGAGATCTCTGTTATTGATCCCGGGATGACTCTTCGAGGAGTATTTTGCTCAGTCAAAAGTGGGTTGAATTTCTGGATCCAATATGCGGCTGATGGCATGGCTCTGCCAAAGATGGGACCCGGCTTATCTATCAAGGGCCTGTGACGATATCCAGAATTCGTATGCCAACTCACATGACGAGCAGTGGGGGGGGGGCTCTGTGAAGGGAGGGGAGTCAGCAGAAAATAAACCAACCCACAAAGCAGGATGTTTCCTTCTATTGCTTTGGGATCAATAAGCCTGAGGAAAGTTTGGAGGAAGATTTGTGGAAAGGGTGTGGGGGGTGATAGAATGGGGGGGGGGTCCAACCTCCATTTATTGAATAACCCTTCCCCCGGCATTCGCCAACCCTGCTATATCAGTCTCCACTCCACCTCCCCCCTCCTCCATGCCGGATCCCTACATATGATTTCCCAGTCCCGACGCGGCTGTCCGCAAAAACCTTCGCGCCACCGGGAAGACAAACTGCGCGGAATCTGCATGATCCTGCAGGTTGTGCTTCGATGCGATACCTTAAATAAGCGAGCAAGGAGGATGGTGGTTCCGGATGCTGTGTTTTTGCAGGGGATTAAAGAGAAATGTGTGTGCAAAACTCACATGGAAGTACGAGCACAAAAAACCCCCACCCTCCTTTTGTCAAACTCTGGTGGCATATTATATTTGGTATATCGGATGATATATGTTGAGGGCCAGAGAAGATGCAGAGCCAGCCTTTGGGGACATTGTCTGGGACTGGGAGGGGAATGGAAGGGGACGGGAGTCGAAGACCAGTAGACCCAGGCCATCAGCATCCGCAGGGACCCACCAGAATAATTTGTGGCCAGGGCTGGACTACTCACCGTTTGATACGGTATTGCGATACGGTAAGTCCCGCTGTTGTCTCGGCCGAGCTAGAAATCCGACACTTGTGGACAAGCATTTCCCTATCTGGACTTCGCTAATTTAGAGTGCTTCATGACGGGTCACCCTGAGGTGCGCAGATCTATTTAGTGCGAAAGGTTTGGGTATGTTTCAACTCTTAAAATCCGATACAGTGAGAGACGGGGGGGGGGGGGGTGTGTGAAGGGGAGAATGGGTGAGCGGATGAAGGAATGAGCGCATGTCGGCTTTTTTTTTTATTTGAGAGGGGGAGAGACCTTGATCTCTCGGACCGGCAGTTAGGTTAGACGCTGGGAATGTGCTACTTCCCTCAGCGTAACATAGAATACTTGCAGTACCGGTATTCGTAACCATCATAAAAAAACCATCTTTCTCTTCAAAGATGCCGCAGGCGAGTAAGCTCTCTCCCTCCCCTCTCTCTTTCCCTTTCCCCTTTTGTTGTTAAATCGGGGAACAAGAATCTAACCATAACTCGTTTCAAGTTCTGTCGACCTACCTCTCTTGTGACCTCGCTCACTTATCCACAAACAATAATATCCCCGATGGGGCCGATAGAATCGAATCCCTGGAACGAGGGGAAGGATGTTTGGTGCCACTCGTGCTCTGTGCAACTGTTTGCTGGAAGGGGTTGCTCGACTTGCCACTCAGTGGCGGTGGAACACTAATCTATCAAATATTAGCAGTATTTCCCGGCCTACCAATTGTCCTCTCTACCATGTCTAGACCAGCTGCGCTCTCCCACTGGTAGGGCCCGTGGAAAGGGAATGTGGCATCTGATTTTCATTATCCCTGTGAGAAACACCTATCATACTTCCCTGCAACCGGAGTTTCCTAAAATCGGCCAGGAGAGTGCTGCACCGGTTGCTGCTGGAAAATCCGCTTGGCACTCCTCGGCAGGCTCAGATGTGCGTGTGCGTAGGGTTGGTACCGGATACCGTGGTTAATCCAGCTGAACGCTTTATCATGAGTCAAGATCCAGAATCACGCAGCTCTTCTCCACTCGAAAACCGGCGCGAGCTACCGTACGTCGTTACACCAGACGTGATGCCCACGGCTACATTACTACCCGGTACCATTACAGTACAGTATTTGGGGGGGGCGGGGGGGTGCTAATTCTCTGCAATTGGATTACCTGGATATGTTTCATCCGACCTCAGCGTTGGTCTTGAACTGATTATCGCCTTTGGGAATTGGGGTGCACACCACCGCCATACGAGGACCAGTGGGCTGAAGAGAGCCAAAGTTTGTAGATAATGACTCGATTTGGTACGGGCACCGCGTTAATCTATTTTGCACTCTATTGGATTGGGAGAAGGGTAGCAAAGTTTCCTTTGAGAGTATCCTCAGCCTTTCCCATACGGTATGCGGTCGGGTCCTGGGGCTCCTGGTGGGGGGAGATTGAGCTATTCGCTTGGGTGGGCAACACCAGTAGACTGGCACTGCAGCTACTTTTATATGCATAATCATATATATTGGAGTTTGGGGAAATAATTGGGGGTGGCAGAACTTCAGTTGGATGCGATTGAATTCGAAGAGTCTTCAGCGGTACTGTTGTAGCTGATTTAAGTGGTACACGGCTCACCGATATTGTAGGGGGTACGGTGCACTTGGATAGGATTTCTCTGGGCCACAGTAGTCTGCGAAATGGCTGCGGGCTGCTTACTGCCTCAGGGAACTTGGGAAAGTCCGAAGGTGATCAAGTCGGCCGTATCAAATTTCTCTCCCCCCCCTTCAGCCCGCTTACCGGTTTCTAGAGAGGGAGCAGGACACGCTCACTGCAGGTGCTTTCCCGGACAAGGCGGGTTTTCTCGGGGCAATAGTAATAATAATAATAATAACGGAGACGTCTGCTGCAGGGATTGTCACAAACGCCGATCCTGGTCGGGGCCTGGATCATGTTTTCCGAGGGGTTTACCCCACATCTGAGTTGGTGCAGAAGCCTATACTTACAATGCCACGGATGATTCCCATGGGGTCGGAGGTGCTTAGCGAAGTATGATACAGGTATCGGCGGCTCCACTGCTGGGGATTCCCCTCCCTATCAAGCGCCGTGTAACTTGGATTTCTCCTTTGTTTCTTGCCCACACCGGTGACGTGTGGAGAGATTTGTGCACGTACTGTGCAGTACGCAGTAAGGAGGCCCGGTTGGATAGAAGAGCGTCCAAACATCTTATGAGAAGGTGACTCGAGTTGAATATCCAATATCCGATATCTAGCTTGTACGTGTAATGATGGGCTTGAGCCGCCTGCAAAAATTTTTTATTTCTTCCACTCTTCTCTCCTCCTCTTCCTTTTTTATTTTTTTTATTTTTTAGTCACCACGGAACGGACTCGTGCACCCAATCCACCGTACGGTAGACCAATTCACACCGCGTGCGCCATCCATCCCAAATCCCATGCAGCCGGATCCTTTTGTGCCTCAAAGTCTGCTCGAGTACCGTACTCGCACATGCGGCGGCACTGGTACCGTACCGTACAGGTTTCAACTCCGAGTCTTAATTGAAAGTTTCTCCGCAGGGGGGGTGGGGGGGGGGGGGTCCGGGTACCACACACTGTACTCGTATCATACTATACCGGTATCTTGTTGCTAATGCTGCCGCACATTTGCCGCGAGGCTAGATTATCATAGCCCTCTATATACCGTACCACAGACTATAGTATCAATCCCTGAGCCTCCGACGAATCCCTTCATCATCATCATCATCACGAGAACTCTTGATTTAGTGGGTGCTATCGTACTGTACTTGTGCGTACCGTGTTACTATCATAATTTACAATTACTAATAAGGGAAATGTTCGCTCATCTTACCGTATTATGCCCCTCCCCCCCCTTTCTTCCGTTCTTGGAACTTGGGCTCGAGAGTTTTAACTTTCTGTAGCTCTTACGAGTACTTGCTGAAACTGGAGTTGGGGGATGGCATGTTCGGGTGGTAACGGATGTTGCTGTTTCCGGCCTCAACGGGTTGACATCCCGGTTTATTACGGTATTCTCAGTCGATATGTATGATACTACGGATTGGGAGGGTTAATTTTTGTCATTCAAAGTTTATGTCTTTTGCCGTTGAAGGCTACGGTGGTATTTAGTCTTTCTTTCGGAGATACCACTTTTGATTCGGGTTATCATAACCTCCAATGCGAGGGAGGTTCAACGACATTCAATTACCGCCGTCATCCCAAATCACCCACCCCCCCCCTCCACCCCTTGGGCTACCGGTATATGTGATCACCATGGGAGTTTCTCCTAAGCCTGAGCCGAGAGATTTTCACGATAAGGAGGAATGTGTATCCGGCATGATAACTAACTTAAAGTCCGGAGTTTATGCAGAACAAATCGATGTGCAGTTCGGTGCTGTACCGTACGGTATGATGAATCCAGGCAGCCGCTCCACTAACTAGTGAGGGTGTAGGCCAAGAGAATTAGCTATCATACCCAGCGTTTCTTCCCGGGAGGTACTCTACAGTAGGGTTTTAACCTCCCTGCGGATGCGCCTTCAACCAAAGGGAGCTTATTTCCCCCCGGTCCTTATTTTTTTGCGGGCACCCTATCAGTTTTCTTCCACACTGACGACACTCACTCCCGGTCGGTGGCTTTCGGTTGGATTGTTAATGCAGAATTCACTGCGTACGGGTACTCGAGTAGTCCTGTGTGAGTGACCGTGCATGCGTGTTGCTAGGAGTGTTAAAGTGATGAATGGTCAAAGACGGGAAAAGGGTGAAAAGGCTCTTGGCATGCATGTAACGCGAGATATAATCGTACGCGTACTGTACAATAGAGGGCGAATAGGAAGCCTCTGTGAAATCATGGGGACCTGTGGCCGGCTTGAAGCCAGCCTTCCTCAAAATCGTGCGATAGTTTCATGGATGGCCTCTTCAATTGGCAGGGGGGATTATCTGTTCAGACCTTTTGGCAGACTCCATCGAAGACTCTGGTATAACGGGGAAAGCTTGCCCGTGGGGGTATTATAGTGTACCGTATCTTGACCTCCGAACTGCGGTGTGATACCAGCCTATAATAGCCCTCTTCCGTTCCTGAAATCGGTTTTACACTATAGGGCGCTAAGGCTGTCATAGTTAACTTATAGCATATTTATCTTCTCCGCGGTAGTTTCCAAACTGCCGTCTGCGGAGCTCTCGGCCAAGAGCACCTACCGATATTTCTGTAGAAAAAAAAAACTTGAGCAACGAGTGGCTTTTCCATTTATGTGCAGTGCTGTACGGCGCCGGTACTCGTACAGTACAATTCAACCGGCAAGTTTTCGACGGATTTCTTCGATTCACTAACCTTGAATACTCCAACGATTGCGGTTAGGAGTGTTAGCTCTGGCGCGGTCTGCCTGTATGCCGGCACCTGATAGCAGTGCTTCGGTGAGGATAGAACCGCGCACACAAATTATGCAGGTCTGAGTTTATACTCCCCCCCCCCGTGACCGAGATGCTCGGGGCGGTTTCGAGTACTTTCGTACTTGCTTAGGGATGGTCGATTGAGGTCATCAGGATCTGATGGTACGTAGCGAAATATAGGGCTTGTTTGGGTTTTGGGGTGTCATGACTTTTTCCCTCTTTCTGCACAGGTGTACCGTATTGGGTATTGGGCTGACAGTGATGGGGAGCTCAGGGAATGTGGTTGGGTTCCTCCAGTAGCTGTGATGCTCTACGGGAGGAGTTGGTCCCACCGTTAGTCTGACCATTTTGTGGAAAAATCTCCAATGCTTACCAAGAGGGAGGTGGTTTGGGACAAAGCCCTGGGTAAGATAGTGGCTGTTTACCTGAGAGCCAATGATAGCTAGAACCAAAGGAGGTAATAACTACCGCACAAAAATCTACCGGTAGTAAAGCACCTCTCGGCCGAGGGGCTCGGAGGTTGGCAATGTTTGTCCGAAGGAAAGAGTTTCCAACGCAAAAAGTGGATTTACCTGTGATGGGGAGCGCTGAATTCCTCTGTTGAGTTACACTTGAGTTGAACTGTTAGCGCAGTGTTTGTTCCGTTCCCCTCTTCCACCGCCGATAACCCTCCTTACCGGTATTTTCTCTCTTTAGCCCTTCACCACGTCAATGTCTCTAGAGGTGTTGGAGATTTTGAATGCGGTAATTGAGAATTATGAGGCAGAACCTAACTGGAGATGGGGATGGCCATACTCTAGGGAGGGAGATGGAGGGAGGTCGAACAGTCCATTCATCCTCTTCCGCCCTGACGATGAAGGCTGAACGTTGTCTGCATTTGTCTTACGCAGTGCTAAATCGTCGCTGTCATGGGGGTTCCTGGAATCGGGAATCCCGCAGAACGAAGGAGGGAGAGAAACACCCATTGACCTCTCTCACTTTTCGACGATGATTTCTGTTCTCTGCCCGATGGTTTGTTCTCTCCTTCCGATCGAGGGGAAGCTCTCCTGACCGTCAGGGAGGGTATCATCACGGAACAAGTACTGTTGGGTCTTCACTTTTGCCTCTCTCTCCCCTTTTGCTTTCTCCTTTCTCTAATCTTCACTTTTTCTCCCTCCCTCCTTTTTTTCCTTTTTCCACTCTCGCGGGAGATGCTTCCCAGATCGTGGGAAAGGAATTGGGGGGGGGGACTGGGGTTTCTTTAAACCATCGTTTTGAGCGGCCGCCTGATAGGTGCAACGCAGTTGGTTTCAACCCTATCCCTGTGCTATACGAGGCTGCAAAATGACAGACGAATTGAATCCTAGACAGCTCGTCATTTCAAAACAGTTGTCCACCACCCGAAACATTTTTCATTGTTCTCCGGTAGTTATTAGAAACGCTCTGTTCTCTCTGTTGCTTTCCTTCTTGTCAACCTAAACGTTTCGGTTGTCTCGGTGATTTCGGCGAAACTTTTTTTGCCAAGGCAGTCCTTTTTTGCCGAATGAATCTTATCTCTTGTTATCAAGGACACGCTCGATTACCGTATAATAAGAACTCGAATAATTGGACCTTCGTGTTAGGATGTTGGAGTTGCCTCTCCTAGTATCATAAGGCTTGGCGTGGGATTTTTTTTCGTTTTTTCTGTCTCGCAATGCAGGCTTTTTGGTGTGTTTTTTGCCCATTTTCCTGAGGGGGAAATTTCGGACTACCTAGCACATGGTCGGCTTGTTCGAGTTCTTAAGGTACCTTAATAGTGCAGTATCCGATCGCGGCACTCGTAACAAGTAATTGCCTCCGGCTTTATTGAGGAATCTAGGTACGAAAGGGACATACTGGTATGGCATGGAAAGGAAGAAATAGTAAGGCTTACTCGATTGCCGATCAAGATCCACCCAAGCGTTTCATGTCATGCGGTTGCGACAGGTTGTTTGATCTCCGGGATTAACTTTGATCCAACCGGGAGATCATCAGCGACGAAGTACAAGTGATGGGGGAGAGAAGGCAAAAAGGAAAAAAAGAAATAGAACGCAATAGAAGCCGAGTTATTATGACATCGTGAGGATCAGAAAAAGGAAAATAGGAAGGAGAAATGATCAATGCCAATAAAGTTTCGGAGAATTTCTAAACTATGACAACAAAGATTCACCCCTCCCCAAAAGGTCTATTCTGCCCCCGCCTCTTTTTTTTGTCCTTTTTCCTCCTTTAACTCTCCTACCCCCCCCCCCCCCGCCACTCCCCCTCTCTAGTGGTTTTGTGATAGATTCTCGTATCCCTTCACCGGCTTTTTGGCTCAGCATTTTTCCGCTCCAACGGTGATTCGGCGGGCTTCAACACATAGTATGGGATATTACTACCAGTTGAAGAGTGGCTAGCTTATCTTATTCGCCCTTCGATATTTGGGGGAATTCCTGCCGGCAGACGGTTCTGTTCTTTGACGTGGAGTTCCGCAAGGTTCTAGGGGCAAAGGCAGCAAAATAATACGAGGGGGTTAGGGGTGCAATTTTTGACATTCATTTGTTTTCTTTATGCCTTTGGGCTGCCCTACGTGGTTAGTGAGCACGAGGGCTTCGGAGGTCTTTGGGAGAGTCTGGCTGGACGTTTGAATGGTAAGTAGTACAGCACAGCACATGGTCGCCAGTTTTCCTCCATACGCCCTATCATGATATCCTTACTTATCGCTTGAAACTGTTCAGGGACCTGGCATATGGAATAAACATCGGAACATTCAATTCAATCGTTACTCCGGCGCGGCTCTGACGGTTTATTTTTTCGATGGCGCTGTCCGGTGACATCATGACGCTCACGATCCTTTGAGCTTGTTGAACTTCAGCAGTTTGTAGTCCGACTACCCATTGGCATTATAAACCTCGCCCTCTCCCACCTCACCGCTCTTCGGAACCTCGAAAAACCCAGACCTTCGTCAATCACTCACTCCTGAGAACTCTTCTGAAAACCGCCAATCTTCTGCGACTTATCCGCATTGTCTCCTCTTACGAGAAAATTACCAACATAGGCGCCTCAATGGATCACGACTTACCCACAGATGAGCGCCATCATTTGAAAGAGCACTTCTCCGTGTATGTTTTGGGACCCGAATCCTTTCCCCTTCTTCAGTGCCAGCCACCCTGCAATTACCCCGCACTAACGCAAGATCAATTCCCTCTTTACTGTCATAGTTCTACAGACCGCCATCAAGAGAAGTGGGCTGAGCTTTGGGACAACGGCGAATCCTCATGGGATAAGGGGGCCCCCAACCCGGCGTTGGTGGATTTGCTGGCACAGAGACAACAGCATACCTCGTTCACCGCCCAGGACTTAGTGGCGAGAGGAGAGAGAAGGAAAAGAGCGCTGGTCCCCGTAGGCACTCCCAATTCCACACCCTCTTTTTCTGCCGCATCTCGAACGAAAGTGGGGGCGGGGCTGTTTTTTCCTCCCCGCCGCGACAATTGAGAATCTTGGGTAACTTTTGGGGGTGCGGTGCGAGTCGTAAGCTAATGGAAGAAATCGGTAATACAGGGATGCGGGCGTGGTTACGATGTTTTCCTTCTAGCAACGCACGGTTATGACGCCTTTGGGGTCGAAGTATCGAGGACCGCCGTGAATCAAGCTCGGGAATGGGCTTCGGACCAACTAGAAATCGAAAAGGATGCTTCAGGGCAAACCCTTGAGACTGATCGCTGGGGCAGAATTCAGATGGTGGAAGGGGACTTTTTCAAAGACGATTGGATCCAAGCAATGGAGATTGATCTCCGTGGCGGATTTGACTTGGTTTATGATTATACCGTATGTTTTGGATATCCCCCTCTTCAACTGACTCGATGCTAATTCTATGACAGTTCCTGTGCGCACTTCATCCAACTCTTCGACTCAGCTGGGCTGCGAGGATGGCTGAACTTCTTGCCCCGCAACGCGGATTGTTGGTGTGCCTGGAGTTCCCACTTTACAAGCCGATTGAGGCTGGTGGGCCGCCATGGGGCCTTAAGAATGAAGTCTATGACGAGCTTTTGGGGGGCCAGATGGGCGCCTTCCAAAAAGTGCTCCACTACAAACCCGACAGAACGCATGAGATAGGCGAAGGCTCGGACTGGATCAGTGTCTGGCGCAGGAAATGAGAAATGATCAGCCAAGAGTGCAGATGTGCGGCTGTGCTTTCGGAGTTTGTTGTATGGGGAAGCGGGGAAGGCGGTGTTTTTCGGAGTCGTGCGGGCTATAGAAGTCGATTTGTTTTCCACACAGTTATTTTCTTTATGCCCTCACTTGGTCCCCCCGAATTGAATTGTACTGGAGCAGAAGAGACAGACGAGGAAATGAGATCATGCGTGTTGATTTTGTCAACGTGCCCCCCCCCAGGCTGGAGTGGGGAACGAAAGAAGAAGAGGCCTATGAATAGACAGAAAATTCTCCCAACCCCCGACTTCCACCTCTTCCCCTGCCTACCTCTCCTTCTACCGGTACCTGTTTCTCTTGCCTATCGTGATCAGCCTTATGTATGAATGCCGGAGTATACCATATGTTCCTGAAAATCGCTGCGATGTATTTCCAACCTGACCACCCCGAATGGGCATGACGCGCGCGATCGAAACCCCACCGCTAGATTCTCCAACCGCCAGCACCACTGCCAGTCGGAATCCTGCAAAGTCTCACATATAACAAAAGAAAGTTTCTCAAATCGGACCGGGGCACTGAGGAGGCGTCGACCGAACCAAGATTGCACCCCCACCTTTATTATAACGTTTCCCAGCAGTGACGCATTCCCGGTAATTTCTATTACCACCATTGTACGAGTATAACAGGAAAGCATTCCCCCCACCC